GAAACCGTTGTACATCTACCCAATGGAATACTATGCTGCAGTAAAAAGGAAGGAATTCTTACCATTTGCAACAGCATGGATGGAACTGGAGAGCATTATGCTAAGTGAAATAAGCCAGTCAATCTAAGAAAAATACCACATGATCTCACTCATTTAGGGATAATAAAAACCATTATAAACTGATGAACAAAAAATAGATACAGAGTCAGAGCAGCATCAAACAGACTGTCAAAGTACAGCAGGAAGGCCGGGAAGGGTTAGGGTGGGGGCAAGAGATCAACCAAAGGACTTGTATACATGCATATAAGCATAACCAATGGACACAAGACACTGGGGAGTAGGGAAGGCCGGAGGAAGGTCAAGGGGGGCGGGGGAGACATATGTAATACTCTTTGTAATACTTTAAGCAATAAAACAAAATTTTTAAAAAATCAAGGAAAAATGAAAACATGAAGTATATATGTAATAACTCAGAAATAAAATTCTGCACATATAATTTGGTATAATTACAATGAATCATATCATACTGAATCCTATATACAACACTCAGATTTTGTAATTATGAATCAGGATTATCTTTGCCAATTCCAAAAGATCCTACCATGATTTGTTATTTATTTAAAAAAACATATATAACAGGGTAAAAACCCAGACCTTGTGGAATATATCAGTATCAGAGTAATGTATTTTGTGATTGTAGTTGAGTGGTACAGGGATATAGAGTGTATATTCTCAGATAACTCTTCTAGGACTGGTCATCGAAGTTAGGAAATGAAACAGGTCAGGATTTGGTGAGGCTGAGGGAGATGTGGGTTTGTGGACATGCACTTCCTCTGCTCCCTGAACTCCAAGTGAAACAGAAGGGTGGCCAGAGGTCAACGAACTACAACAGGAACCTCTGCCAGCAGCTCAGCTAAAAGACAAATGTCAAAGCATCACAGGCTTTGACAACCATGACCACTGAAAAAAAACAACCTTGGAATTTAAGAATCAACAAGTCATAAAGAAGCTTTAGGAGAAGGTTCAGTAGGAAACTAAGGCCAGAAGCCAACAGCCAGAGGGTTAAATAGAGAATGGGTTATGATATGAATCATGACACTTTCTGGGATCACCCACCTGCATTTTGGGTGCCTTTGGTAACATCTCTTCATCTTTTTGAACTTGAATGTCTTTATTTCTAAAGAAGTGGTACGGCAATAGCTACCTCACTGGGTTTTTGCTCCACCAGAAAACTCAGCATAGTCACTTCCCCTGAGAGTTGGTGGTGGTGCTTATATCATATAATTGAGAGAATCACTCTCTACTTCCTTCTCCTTACAACTGCCGAGAAAGAGATGATGGCAAAGAATTGACCCTGTTAATAGTCTCCCAAACTCTCAGCCTTTACTTTATTCTGCTCAAATAATAAGTGATCAAACGATTTGAATTCTTCTATAAAATAAAATGGGAAGAATTTTTGCAATTCAATAATATTTTAAAGAGAAATGGGGAGAAAGGGAGCATTGTGAGTGATTTTTTAAAAGAGAGAAGTGCAAGATCTGAGCAACATGGAGTGTGTGTGTGTGTGTGTGTGTGTGTGTGTGCGTGTGTTTGGGTAGGGAGAATACTGGGTATAAAGACAGCAGAGGGAAATCCTGTTGTCAGGAGTAGCCATAAAACATTTAACAATATAAATCCCTTACAATGTGTGGAGAGGAGCAGCCATCTTTCCCCCACCCTCTGGGCTAATCCCACGTTCTGGTTTGTCTTGGGTGGGGCCCAATCCGGTAGTGGGCTGGCACACACAGTCCTGCTTTATTAAAGCCCTGGGTTTGTCCTGCATGAAGCGGGAAGAAACCCAGCCTGGGAATCTTTGGGAACCTCTGACACTCAGGCAGTCCACCTGCTGCCATGGGCCGCTACCACATCCAAGTGGCCACCGGGGCCTGGCTCTTCTCTGGGTCTTTCAACCGCGTGCAGCTGTGGCTGGTCGGGGAACTCGGGGAGGCAGAGCTGGAGCTGCAGCTGAGGCCAGCGCGGGGCCAGGTAAGCGGAAGAAGGGGGAACTCAGGCCCCCTGGCTGAGCTCCATGCCTGAGGGCAGTTCAGACTTGGGAGGCTGAGAGCCAGTGACAGCACAATCGCACCAGCTGTGACTTCCAGTGAGAAGGGATGCCTGTACCTGGATGGGTGAGAGATTCAGAGCCAGGGCCCAGCTGGACCTCAACCCCTTTCTCCCTCCCCTAGACTCTGATCCACACAACCTCCACTCCTTTCCCAAATGTCATTATGGGATCAATGGTCAAAGGGGAAGCTCCTCCGAGAGCCCGGGTGCAGCTGCAGGTGTTGGTGCTCAGTGTTCAAGTCACTGTGGTCTCAGTCGGGTTCCTGGTCCTCCCGGTTCAATGGGTCATCTGAGACCCACCGCTCAGATGTTGGGAGGAGGAATTGCTGTCTTTGGAGGCCTTGTCACTGGACTCCACAAAAGCCCCACCCACCCTGCACCCTCAGTTAAATGCCTCTACAGGGTCCCCACTAGAGGTCTCACCGGGTTTTGGTCCCCACAGGTGGAGGCGTTTGAGCAGGACATTTCCCAGGACTTGGGGCCACTGCAGTTTGTGAAGTTGCGCAAACATCACTCCTTGGTGGACGATGCCTGGTTCTGTGACCGCATCACAGTGCAGGGCCCAGGAGCCTTCGGGGAGGCCACCTTCCCCTGCTACCGCTGGGTGCAGGGCGAGGGCATGCTGACCCTGCCTGAGGGCACAGGTGAGGGGCCGCCTCAGGGAAGTGGGAGCAGGGCCCACGGAATACTGAGGAAGAAACAAGGGGAACATTATGCATAAATAAAAAGGCTATAAGTAGGACTGGAGAGGGAAATAATTGATGTGTACATCCCACCTCCCAAGGTGTACCCTGGGAACGGGAGGTGCAGCCATGCTCTGGAAAACAGAATAGCCAAAGTAAAGTGAGAAGGAGATCTCCATGTGACTGGGAACAAGTTAGGGCAGGGACAGGCAAGGCTAGCACATGGGACCCCTGAGAGGAGGCAGGGAAGGAAGCAATAAATGATATGATGTGAAGAGCTGGTTTGGCTGTGATAACATGGAAGACAACTGGCAGGGCAGGGAGCACACTGACTGGGGTGGGGATGCGTGAGCACGGGCTATAGGGGATTTGTTGCTGTGGGACACATGGAGGAGAAATATGACTGGAGAGAAATTTAGGACAATGGCATGTAAGAATGGAGACTAATCAGCCCTTAGAAAGATGGCATGCTGTTTGAGACAACATGGATGGATCTTGAGAGTATTCAATTAAATGAAATGTCAAAGGAAAAGGACAAGAACTGCATAATTTGACTCCTAAGTGGGATAAAAAAACAAAAAGCAAAAATGAACAAACAAAACAAATAAAAATACAAACTCATAGATATAGACAACAGAATGGTGGTTACCAAAGGGAAGAGGATAAAAGGGGGTCAAATATATGGTGACAGAAGAAGACTAGACTTTGGGCAGTGAACATACTCAGAGTATATAAATGTCATATTGTAAGATTGTACACCTGAAATTTATATAATGTTATCAATCAATGTTATATCCCAATAAATTTAATAAAAAATGAAATAGGCATCTTTGCAAGACAATATAAGTACAGGTGAGAAAAGGACAAGTCAGGTTAACAAATATAAACCATGTGACGGGGAGGCTAGGTGAGATGGAGTGAGGGAAAAGTAGCACCATGGAACTATTTGCTCCCTAAGACAGGTGAGAGGGGATGGCTGAAGATAACACACATAGAATTTGTGTCTCAGGGATCAGGTGGAGGTAGGGACAGAGAACAGCAC